TGTTATATAGTGTCCCAGACTGGCCTTGAATTTAGGATACTCCTACCTCAGTTTTCTGAGTTCTTTCTTGTTAATGAAAGTATTTAGTGCTATAAATTTCCCTATCAGTTCTGTTTTAGATCCTTAGATACAACATTTCAACATACTCATAATTCAATTCCATGTACATTCTAAATTTCTTTTGAGACTTACTCTTTCACTGATGGGTTAATAAAGAGTGTGTAATTTAGTTTCACTGTGCTTGCAGATACTTGATATGGGACAACTTTGTTACTGAGTTCTAATTTGATTCCATTTTAACTGGAAAACATACTCTATATATTATAATTAGTCTGTTAAAGTTTATGCAGGATATGGTATGTTGTATTACTGACTTAATACCCTCACACCCAAGTTTGAATTCTCTAGTCAGTGTTTATCATGTGTAAGTCCTGATTATCCAAAGCTCATTTGAATCTTTTGAATGACACTTTTTTTTTGGTACCTGGGATCGAACTCAGGACCTTGCGCTTGGGAGGCAGGCACTTGGGAGGCAGGCGGAGGCACTGCTGACCTAAATTCCCGGCCCTTTGAATGACACTTTTGGGCAAGTACAGCACAGGCTTATCTATGGAAAAAAATTCATACCCATGAAATTGAAGTTAAATTATTACATTAAATAATAAACTAGGCTGGGGATGTAGATCAGTGTTACAGCACTTACCTAGTATATGCAAGGCACTAGGTTCAGTCCCCAGCAGTGCCAAAAAAAAAAAAAGTATTAACTAATGAATTAAAAGATGTGAAGATGTTCATTTTATTTTTCCTTTATACTGTATTTTGACTTAATGACTACTCCATTAAGAACTGAGCAGAGCAGGCGTGGTGGCACACGCTTGTAACCTCAGCACTAGGAGGCTGAGGCAGGAAGATTGCAAGCTCAAGCCCAGCCTGGACAATTTAGCAAGACCCTGTCGCAAAATTAAAAAAATATAGAAAAGACTGGGAATGCAGCTCAGTGTGAAGGCCCAGGACTGCAAACCAAAACACTGAGCAGATAAGATACTGCAGGTTTGCCACAATTGATACTGAAGTATTAACAAATCATTATTCCTAATATCAAAACAGTCTGCTGCTCTCTTTTTCTATAAAATGAAAAAACAAAGCAGATATACTTGATTTGTGGAGGAGAAACTGAGAACATACAGAGTGAGAGGTGGTAAAAACTTCTTCATTGGCACCAGGGTACATAAGATATCCGGAAAAAAAGAGCACTGGACTCTGGAGTCAGACAAGACCAACTTATATGTTTACTATTGTGCTGTGTAATTTTCCAAACATTTTCATGGAAATTTTCAACTATATCCCAAAGTAGAGATTATCAGGTTAAACCATCACGGTTCCCATCACCCAGTGTTAGCAGTTACTACTGTAACTCTTGTCTTCTTATATCCCTGTACCCCTGCCAGCTGCATTAGGAAGCAAATTCTAGATTTCATCATTTTAGTCCAGTATTTCAGTATGCATCCCTAAAATATAAGGGCTTTTTTAAAGTACGTAACCACAACTATACTATCACACCTTAAAAAAAGGTTCCTTGCCAAGGATTTAGCTCAGTAGTTCTGGTGCTTTCTGTGCAAGCATTAAGGACCGGAGTGTGATCCCCGGTACCAAAAAAAAAAAAAAAAGATTCTTTAATATCATTAAGTATCCCCTTATTGTTTAAATTTTTCTTTATTTATATCATGTCTATACACACACACTTTTGTTTTTTTTCTATCCTGGGGAGTGAACCCAGGGCAAGATTTATGCATACATGATTGGCAAATGTTCAACCACTGAGCTTCAGCCCAGGCTCTTTCTTCCAGTACATTTTTAAAAAACATTTTGTCCAACCAGGGTCCAAATAAACATACAGTATGTAGGCTCCTTTTCCTCACCTTCCAGCTATTTTGTTTTTACTGTATTGTTATAATGCTGTGAAAAAGATAGTATGAGTTCTTTTTTCAGAGGAGGAAACTGAGGCGTTGAGAAGATAAGTAATTTGCTAAGTGTCATAGAGGCTAGTGAGCCCCTTTTGCTGAACATTGGCCCAAGCTTGTGTTACTCCAGTGCCCTTTCTAGGGGTGGTCAAGTTTGGATTCAAATGCTGCCTAAGTAGAGGCTTCTTTCCCATGCCATTAACTCCTTGTCTTCCCTTATTTACTGACCTATGTCACCTAATTAGGTAGTGTATTAGGCAGTTTTCCATTGCCTGTAAAAATACGTGAGAATAATCACTTAAAGGAGGAACAGTTTATTTTGGCTCACGGTTTCAGAGGTTTCAGTCTGAGGTCAGGTGGCTACATTATTCTTAGGCCTGTGGCAAGGCAGAGATAGTACTGTGGCAGAAGAAACATGCTCAGCTTGTGGCAGCAAGGAGACAGAGAAATAGAGCGAGCTCGGGAAGGGGCCAGGAACAAGAAAGTCTCTGGGGCACGCCTTTATGACCTGCCTCATCCATTTAGGTGGCTCCTCCTACTAACATCATTGAGCTAGGAGTCCATTGATAATTAAAGCCCCTTCAGATTCAGCTGCTTCCCAGAAGCTCATTAGCTGGCATCCAAGCCCTTAACCTCTGGGGACATTTCCTTATCCAAACATAATGGATCACTAGGGAGAATGCTTGAGACTCAGTTCTGCCTTCGATAATATCAGGAAATCAGGGGCCTTTAGTCCTTCAGTTTATTTAGAGCAGCTCTTAAAAATCCTTTTCTTTCCACCTCTTGTTATCTTCTAAGGGGAATTCTGCAGTTGCCCATAATACTGTATACTAGTCGGTTCCACAGCTCTCAGTATCAGGACCTGCTGTTCAATATGGTAGCCACTAGCCACAAGTAGATATTTCAGTTTTAATTTAAATTAAAAGTTAAATCAGTCTTTTAGTCACACTAATTCAAGTGCTTGATACTAACATGTAGCTGCCACATTAGAAAAGAGTAGCGACAGGGCTGGGTGTGGTGGTGTACTTGCAAAGCTGAGCCAGAGGGATGCTCGAAAGTTCGCCAGTGTGGGCTACATAGTAAGTTCAAGGCCAGCCTAAGCTACATAGTGAGGGCCCCGCCCAGCCCCAAAGAGAAAGTGGGAGGGGACCTTTCTGGGCTTTGAGATACTGAATAGTGAGCATTTTGTGAGGCTAAAAGAAGCCTCACAAGAAGAGGTTAATAAGAGGGGCAACTGCGAACTAAAACAAAATCTGATGACTCTTTTCCACTTTACACCTGCAGGCCCACAGTGTGCACTGGATCACATGGCTTGCCAGAAATCCTTGGGGAACAATGATGGCTTGTAATCTTTTAGAATTATAAATTAATCCCATCACAAACTCTTCCCCATTCATTGAGTGCAAGGGTAACTGTAAAGGGACTCAAGATTTGTAAATTCTGTTTCTTCAATTTCTGGATCTCTGAATAACTAGATATTTGTCAGAGACAGTAAGACAGATGGTATTCAGACTACTGTAGCATAGGAAGGGAGACTCTAGTATAAAGTGAGCTCAGCTCTACTGAAACAAAAGGTGGAAAGCTTTTTTTTTTTTGGTACCAGGGATCGAACTCAGGTCCTTGCACTTGCGCAGCAGGCGGCGAAACCCCTGAGCTAAATCCCCAGCCGGTGGAAAGCTTTTTAAACACTGGGGTGTGCTAAAAGAAAAGTATTGAAGATACTAGGTGAGGGTGATTTAGCAGTGTGATTAGCCATCTGTGTTTGCTAAGTGGAACTTATTAAAGTTAGGCTTCTGCTATCCCACAGAGATGGCTGAGACAGGAACCCTATTTTAAACAGATGAGCCCAGAGAAGTGCCCATTGCGAAGGCACATTTCTGTGTTGTAGAAGATTTATATCACAAAGGACAAAAAAGGATTTACAACTTCCAAGTCCAAGTCAGGTTCTGGCTGGAATAAACAGTATGACGTACTTTTGGTGTTGATGGTGTTTTCCACACATTTTAAGGGGACTAGGATCATCTAGAGGTATGGCATTGAGCTGATAGAAGCCAAGGTAGAGTTTGGTCAAGTCTCTTTCAGGTTGGGGGTGAGGGTTGGATAGGTTGTTTATGCTGAGTTTGCAGTTCTCAGTATGTGGATAAAATGTTGTATATAAAATTTCATGACCTTGGACAATTTGGGGAGTTTGGGGAATGATGAGACTGGAGTTTTATCTGATCCTGGGAAGAGGAAAAGAACTTGCAGTGAAGGGAAGAAGACTGTTCTTGGGACCTAGTACCATGAAAGAAAAGTGGAACAGTGAGGAAGGTAACTTCTGGGCTTGAAAAGCAGCCTGGGATTTTGTTTTGTGATGTAAGGCCAAGAGGAATGTATGAACCAGAGCAGTCTGAGGAAGGCAAGGTCTCTGTTAATGGACTACTTAAGGAAGCTGCTTGGAACAGATAGAACCTATGAGGTGAGCCTTGTAATATGGTAGGTGGGCTTTTCATAGTTTAGTATTTTGTTGTGGTATTCCTATGAATCCCTATTAGGTTCTCTCAGAAATTCTGATTTTATGTTTCAGTTAGTTACCTGAAAGGTTTTTTTTTCGTGATGCTTGCCTAATGTTGGCATTTCTCTCATTCTGACTTGATTTCTTGGTTGGTTTCCACCAGATCTTTTCAGAATATCCTAAAGAACCTCCATGTTTTTGCACAGTCAGTTCTTCTGCCTGAAGTACCTTCTAGTCCTGCTACCCTTCCCTGTCCACAGACATCCCTATGCAGTCATTTAGCCTTCAAGACCAGCTACCTTAATGCCCTTTCTTTGTTCCCCATAGTACAGGATTTTTTGTCTGTCATAGCTCTTACAATATGTTATAATTGGTTTATATTCTAAACCCCTTAGTTCAGTCTTAAGCATGGAGGGAAATAATGTTTGGTTAATAGATGTGATTAACTATAATCAGTTTTGAAATGTTTTCCAGTGTTAACTCAGCTGTCTTATGCACATAGGTACAATATCTATTTTGTTAATTGAATTTTTATTTGTTCTTAGATATCATTAAGAGGACCTGCGCCAGTGACAGTTGTACCTCTTCCTGGAGAGCAACTACAGGTTCAGGGGGTCATCCAGACAGCTCAGTCTTCTGTAATTCACCCATCTCATGTGCAGACGGTACAGATATTCAAAGATAGTGGTTGAGGGTGGGGACTTTTATACCCTAAGTGGTCAGACACACGGTAGTTGCTATAGTTATGGTATCATAGTCCAAGCTAACAAAGTCCTAGAAATTGGGTTATAGATCCAGTGAGGCTACATGAAAAGTGTTAGAATTTCTGATTACATGTATGTAATACCTAGTGAAATTAGTTTGGAGAGGTTACTGCTTAGAATTTAAGGAAACAAAACTTTCTTCAGGGGAGGAATCCTTTTGTCCCAGTAATATCTTTCATGAAGGGAATTCTGAAGCAAGGGTAATGGTTTGAAAGTATTAGCAAAAGAAGTAACTATCTATCTTATGCTTTATGGAGGTCAAATCAGAGAGTTCTCGCACAGTAAAGGACATTTCTTACTTATAACTACCTTCATATCAACAACTGACCACCTTAGGAAAGAAATAGGGCCACCTTGGCTCTCTTTTCTTTCTGCTTTCTTATTTTATCTTTGGTTCCTGTGAATCCCAGAATGCCTTTGGTCATCTGTCACTTTTAGAAGCAGCCATCTGGGAAGAAAAGATGAATATAGTACCTCATCTTTTCCTGGATAGGTAGTGACTGGCAGTGCTGTCAACTCTAGCATGCATCTTCATTTGGTATTCTCATGTGAAAGGTGGTGGCTGCATGGATTTTTGAATTTTTATTTGCTACTCTTGTCATTAAGAGAAACAGATGATCTTAGTCACAAGTAATCCCTTAGTTTAGAAATTATTTTCAGTGAGAGACCAAGTAAATTTAGAGACAAGCTGTGAAAATTGCCAATGATTTAGATTAGAAATGATGCTTCAAGAAAAATAAAATGACATCTTTCTTTTTTAAAATTGTATTAATAGGACTGGGGATTTTGCTCAGTGGCACTGTGCCTGCCTCATAAGGATGAGGTCATGAGTTCAATCCCCAGTACCAAAAAAAAAAAATCGTATTAGTGGGCCAGGGATTTACCTCAGTGGCACTGAGCCTGCCTCAAAAGCGCAAGGTCCTGAGTTTGATCCCTGGTACCAAAATAAATAAAAAATAAAAATTATATTAGTTTTAAGCACAGATTCCCTCAAATCTCAATTCTTCCTATACACGTATGGTTAGTGTTATGTGACCATCTCAAGCAGAT